TTGGGAGGCTCAGGCAGGAGGATCGCTGTGAATTCGAGACCAGCCTGAGCTACATAGTGAGTTCCAGGTCAGTCTCTCACTACATAGTGAGACCCTGCCTCAACCCCCCCCAAAAAAAAGACAATTCCTGGTTAATTTGCTATCAACATTCAGGTACTAATGATAGCTAAACCCTACAATGGCTTTCATTATGTGCTTGTACCATTCCAGGTATATACACGCGTGGAATCATCAACATAACGCCTTAGGACAAGGTTTACCGCCTTCTTCATTTACCAAGGGGGACACAGGCACAAACAGATGGATTAAACTGCCCCCGATCAAACAGCAAACAAGTGATTTGAGGGTTCAAACTATGCCAATAGCACCCAACTGCTTTCTTACGACCTGAAGACAAAGTTATCAATACAAGAAAAATTAAAAATATGAAATGATTTATGTATATGGTGCTGAGGACTGAATCCGTGGCCTGTGCACTAAACTACACCCTCAGCATTTTTTTTTTTTTTTTTTTTTTTTTTGTTCCAGGTTTCAAACTCCGGGCTTTGCACTTATTTTTTTTGAGGCAGGGTCTCACTAAGTCACTAGTTGCCCAGGATAGGCTCAAACTTGTCATCCTGCCTCAGCCATCCAGAGTGCTGGGATTACAGGCATAAGCCACCATGAGCGACTTAGAATGATATACTGCTATTGCTACCCGGAAGATTAAAGATTAAAATGAAAGCTGATTATAGAAAAGCCTATGTCGACAAAATTTTTAAAAAAATATATAGAATGTTTCTTCTATCTCAACTGTGTCATGTATTTAATAATACAATTCTGAACCTTGTGTAAGCCCAGTAAAGAAATATAGAATGTTTCTATCTCAACTGTGTCATGTATTTAATAATACAATTCTGAACCTTGTGTAAGCCCAGTAAAGACTTAAATTTTAAGCTAAGGCCTCAAGTTCAACATCTCGACTTCACTTGGCAATAATAACAATGCTGGGCTATTTTTTTCTAAGAAATCTTTGGGAATTAACAAGACCAGAGTATGAAAAACAGCAGAAATCACCTAATCTAGACCTGTCATTTTTTTCTATGCATACAAAAAACCAGAGGAATACTTAACATGACATATACTAGTTCATACTTGAGCTAGGGAAAAAGCCCAAGATCTCCTGATTTCTTTGTATTACACAACTATACACCAGCAATTCAGTTATAAAAGCTGCCAAGTGGGCCAGGGATTTAGCTCTGTGGTTCTGCTGCCTACCTCACAAGTGCAAGGTCTCGAGTTCGATTCCCAGGACCCCCCCCCAAAAAAAGCTGCCAAGTAAATAGAACCCAATTCCCAGAAATACACCTCCATCATCCTACTTTTCACCCATTTTCTTTCTCTTTCAAAACAGTAACAGTGACAATGAATTATCTTATTCAACAAACATTTAACATGTATTGTGTGCCAAGCATTGTTCTAGGTCCAGCACTTTATACAGGACATTCTGCATAAAGCACAAAAATAACTTAATCCAGCACTAGGCTTATAGTATACAGTAGAGGCCTGGGGCACTAAATAGGACATCTAAGTAATAATGCACTATAAAGAAGGATTTAAAAAATATTTCCAGCTGAGCATGGTAGCACACATCTGAAATATTAGCTATGTGGGAATTTGGGAGAGTGAGGCAGGAGAACTGCAAGTTCAAGGCCAGCCTGGGCAACTTCACAGGACTGTATGTCTCTAAATCTAAAAAGGGACCAGGACGTAGCTCAGTGGTAAATCACCTGTCTAGAATGAGTGAGGCTCTGAACAGTACCCAACACTGCTGGGAGATCTATATATGTATACACACACACACACACACACACACACACACACACACGGAGGAAATTAAGAGTTATAAGTCTGGCTTGAAACATGAGAAAAATTCTAATAGTGAAGGACTATGGGAAGATGTTAGGCATGTCACAGTGGGAAAAAAAGCTAAAGTCCTGAAGTAAATCAAAGGTCTTAACTGTTCCATACAGCTGTATCATAAGCCACAGAAGCAACAAATTTAAGAGAAGTAGGAGCCATACTGAAGCAATGTTACACAGTGAAGGACAAAACATTCAAATTTAGTTCCTAACTCAGTGGATACTGTGATCCTCTAAAGATTTCTGAGAAAAATAACCCAAACTGGGACTGCATATGAAATTAACTTAAAATGGAAAGATTGGACCAAGAAAGAAGGAATGATTTGTGCAGTTACTACAAGCAAGATTACAAACAGGATGAGAATGAACAAAGGAGAAAGCAATAAAGAAAAACTAAAGCATTACAGAAGATAAAACAGTATTCACTGCAGCCGATGCAATACAGCAGGAGAGAAGACAATGTGAAGTCTCCGATGGGAAAGAAATGAAGATGTACCATTAACAGAAAACAGGCGATCTAGGCTAAAGGGTGAGCCAGATGTAATCTGTTCAAAGGTTATGCTCTAAACCAGTGATGGCGACCCTTTTAGAGCTTACAATGACAATGAGTTGCAGCACACATGCCATAGGGTCACCACCCCTGCTCTAACTAAACCTCTGAGGGAAATGTATGAATACTCTTACTTCAGAAAAGCAAATGTTCTCAGGCCAGGGATTTAACTCAGTGGTACAGTACCTGCCCAGCAAGCACAAAGTCCTGAGTTTGATCCCTGGTACCAAAAAAAAAAAAAAAAAGCAAAGCAAGTATCTTAGTAAAATAAACATAATCCGTATTGACGTGCAGACTACAGTATGCAAAATTTTCAAAGCAGTGCTCACTGGATGATTTTGATACAGAAAACATTTGTAAAAACAAATACTAGAACAAATCATTCTATTAGAATACACATACCAATTCCTGTCATTTTAAGATGCTAAGAACATATCATATGTTAACAATATTTAACAACCTCAAAAATTATTTAATAAATCAGTAGTAAAATGCAGCTACTAAGTATTAGCAGACAACTAATCCAACATACATCAAGATAAACATTTCTTGAATTCTATTTATTTCCTCTATCGGAGGTCTCCCAAATGCCAAACAGCAAGGATATGCGATGCATCGAAACTATGGACTGGCTCATTTAGGTAAATGATGTTCAGTTTGGAATACTAACTTCTGATTAAATAAAATCTACATGATCTGTCTACCAGTCAACAGGCAAACTACAAGCTCCTTGAGTGGAGGTTACACAGTAAACATCACATACCCTTGCTGCTTGGCATTTAAGAGACCTCCAATAGAGGAAATAAACAGAATTCAACCAAGGAATGTTTTCTAAGTATACAGTGCTTTCATAACTTGGTATTACACAAGAGCAAAGAATTACCGATCAAGTCTTTAAGTGCCTACTATTCAACAGGTAATGGAGTTACAAAATGACTAATATGTGACTCCTCCCTTCTTTCTCTACACAAGTCAAAAACACCATGGGCTTGAATAGAACTTCATTATTTGTGTGCCCATCACTGAGTCCCTTACTTCAAGTTTCTGTTTTCTCATCTGAAAAATGGACGAGGGCCCAAAAGAAGAGAGAGGTCTGTAAGGTACGGCAAGTATAATTATGCCAGGTGGCTTCCTGTAGAATTTACCACGCCTTGCTAGGGATTTAGCTCTGTGGCATCACTGGCCTGCCTCACAAGGTCCTGAGTTCAATCCCAGGTACAGAAGGAAAAAAAAGAATTTACCACACCCTGATCAGACACTTCATGGGGAACGACAGGGACCCTAACAAATACTATGCACGCATCTGGCTGGCCAACACAATGCCACTACCCAGAAAAACCCTGCACACAAACAGAAGCCTACAAACAGGAGATAAGAATATGATCTGCATACAAAGACAACACAACCAAAACAATATGCAGACTCTTACAACACAAATTTTTAAAAATCAGAATTTCCTGGTTTTATTTTTAAAATTCCTGTGGTAACTCAAGACATAATACTCCTAAAAAGACAAACTCCTGAACAATGAAATAATGCAAGTGCTTTGTACAAATAATACCTCCATTAAAGGACTAACACCACTTAACAAATGCAAAATCTTTAAATTTCAAAACTTCAGATAAACTTTTTAAATAAGTCAATAAAACTTGGGAGGAGGATTAAGACTTAAATACTTGGACTGATCTGTTTCTAACTGCACAGAAAATATGGTCTCCAAAAGGCAAGCTATGTATTCACAACATTACTTTCTTATCACATACATGAATCCCTGCAGCACAAAATAAATACTTTGAGCCAGTATTTTTTTCTTCTTCTTTTTTTTTTTTTTTTTAGAGACAGGGTCGCACTATGTAGTTGAGACTGACCTGGAACTCACTATATAGCCCATGCTGGTCTCAAACTCATAGCGATCATCCTGCCTCAGCCTCCCGTGTGCTGGGATTACGGGCATGTGCCACCACACCTGGCCTGAGCCAGTATTTCTTTATAGAACATGGCAATCAATACCACATTCTCAAAGTTGGCAAGTTTAAAACCACCCAAAATCCTGATAAAAATTAAAGATGGTGGGCAGGGATTTGGCTCAGTGATGCCACTGCTTGCCTTGCAAGTGCAAGGTCCCAAGTTTGATCCTCAATACCAAAAATAATAATAATAATAATAATAAAGATGGTGTGAGAAGCATTTATGAGCTAAAGGTTGACGGTACCTATTTCCACTTAATTATCTATAAACAACACACAAACACTGCACCATCTATTTTACCTAGAATTTACATAACAAGGAAACCATTATTATAGAGCTTTTTTGTGATGGCTCTGTGTATCTATCATTTATTGCTTCTCATTTAAGTTCAAGGAAAAAAACAAAATAAGGCATAACAACAGATTTAAGGCTATTTTTCAAAAAGGTGATTTTTAATCACCTGTGGGCAATAAACAAAAATGTTCTTAAACTCTAATAAGCTCTGGTTCAAAGAAATCCTTCAGTCATTAACATGTCTAAAAGGTTCTATTATTCAAGTTTTGCATTAAATGCTTTCTTACCTTCTGCTACATCATCATCTACTGCTCCTTTCACCTGAGAAAAACACCACTGAATATCATTCCCTCCTCCCGCTCCTGGAAAAAAAAAAACAAAAAAACAATTAAAGCAGTTCTGCTCATGTTTATTCTCATAAACAGAGATGGTATCCGTGGCTGGCATGATCCTAACAGCTTGGTTCTGCCCACATACAACCACCACCAAGTGCACAAATTTGGGAAAAGTTTGCTTCCCAGTAGTTGCTAGCACATTAAAAACAAGATTCCAGGTCTGCAATATTTAAAGACACACCGTAATCACTGTACATATATTTGAAACTTCTTTTCCATTTTTCCCTTCTCTTTGAATACAGTAGACTGTTACACTCAAGCAAGATCTACCAGAAACGAGTAAGTAGCAAAAGTTAGAGTTTTCCTTCAAGTGTGCAAAAAGCCTGAAGATTTAGTAAGATTAAACAACCATGAAGCCCAGAAGCAAAAGAATACTTCGGGCACATTACTGCCTCCTTGGGGTAATGAATCATAAGAACTTTATCGCCAAAATGCGCACCCAGCAAACACGACACTCATTCCTTTGCATTCATTACCAGCAAATCACTGGCTCCAGAAAGACAGGAAAAGGAACGGAAACGAGTGCTGCTGAAGAGACCGCCAAAGGAAGCCCGTTCTGCCTCCCTTCACCCTAAGAAGCTAAAAGATCCCCGCAAAAGAATGCGTTTTGCTAATGTCATCTCGTGCAAAACAATTTTAATGTCATTTCATATTCACCAAGGTCAAGAGCAACTTGTTTACAGCAAACTGTAAATCAATCACTATGCTAACTTTTTTAAAGGTTCTGCTTTCTACCTAAATCCTGGGGGAAGGGAGGCACGAAAGACAGGTTCAATCTGGGGATGTCTACAGCACTTCCAAGCAATGAGGAGATGGAAAATCTCCCCAATTTTTACGATCTATGATTTACTTTACTGTTTGAAGGAAGACATCTGCAACACCAAAATGTACAAGAAATATGCTCAAAAGAATTATTCCTCTATATTCACTCCTATTCTCTGCTAAGTATTTCCAATCGAGTTTTCTTTTTTCTTTTTTTGCAAGCTTTTACAAAGTCGCACTGCACTCCCTTTGGCTATTTATATCATTGAACGCCACAACTATTTTAACTAACTTCACGAAACTCTTCTGGGAAAAGGACATCTGCACAAAAGCTAACATGCAAAACGGAAAGTTTAAATTATGTTTTTCATGCAAACTGCTCTATATTAAAGGCCTTGCACTCTTTGGTCGTACAGGATAAAAAACAGAAGGGAGCTCGTTCGGGAAATAAAAATTTGGGCCTGTAGCCTCAAAAATAGAAGAACCCACAGCGCGAGGTGGTGAGGGGGTATACACATATGCCTCCAATGTATTTTCACTTGGAAAGCGCTCTTCCCTGTCAGAGCCAAACACATCCGAGTATATCAGAGGAGGCTTGGAGGGAGGAGCAGGAATCAAGAGGGGAAACCGGCAGAGGAGCCGGGGACAGGCAGGGCGGAGAGGCCGGAGGACCTCGCCGGGCCCGAGCCAGGCCGACTGCACG